CTATGGCTTCACACATTTTATTCAGCACATCATCTGCTATTATAGAGAAAATCAAATACTTTTCTGCTAATCATGTACTTTCTTTTTTTTAAATGTTTTGAAAGCTGAATTCTACTATTCCTTGTCAAACCCAGATCCTGCTCTCAGTTTTGGCCCTGTAGGTCCATTTAAATCAATGCAGTTACTCCAATTTAACATTAGCACTACTGAGAGCTGAATTCTGGCCTCAGACTGTAATCAAGCAAAAATCCCATAGAAGTCAGTGGGAGTTCTGCTTGACGTGGCTCATAAAGCTCTTGGGAAGGAATATAGCATTCATGGGAGGGAAAGTGAGACTAATTGTTTGGGCTTGAGCTATCTGGTGCAGGCAAGTGCTGTGCAAGTCACCTCATGCTCTTGCCTGAGCTCACCACCAACTGCTGTTCCATCCCTTAGCTATGGACAATGGATCATTTCTAATTTTGCCAAAATCAGGCCATTTACAAATCATAGAATCATAGAAGTAGGGTTGGAAGGGACCTTGTAGATCTTCAAGTCCGACCCCTTGCCTGGGCAGGAGGAAAACTGGGCTCAAATGACCCCAGCCAGGTAGGCATCAAGCCTCTTCTTAAAGACCCTCAGGGTAGGAGCCAGCACCACTTCCCTTGGAAGTTGGTTCCAGATCCTAGCCGCCCTAACTGTGAAGTAGTTCTTATGGATGTCTAATTTAAACCTACTCTCCAACAACTTGTGGCTGTTATTCCTTGTTATCCTGGGGGGCGCTGGGGGAAACAAGGTCTCCCCCAAACCCTTCTGGTCCCCCCTAGTGAGTTTATAGACGGTCACCAGGTCCCCCCTCAGCCTTCTCTTGTGAAGGCTGTTTTGCTACTACTGGGAGAGTAGCCACTCTCCTGGGAGGAACTACAGGTATAGAAGTATTCATTTAGTTTCTCTTGCAAGAGTGAACGCTTGTATGCTCTTCTCCCAGCCTGGTCCAGGAGAAGAGTGAATTAGTGGATCAAAGCCCCCTACCTGTTCTCCAGACTGGGGATCCCTGGTCTGGGGTGTGAGCAGGGAGCTTCAGTGGCTGCTCTAGTAACCTCCTGGATGGGTCAGGGAGGAGGGTGGAGCAGTTGCTCCTTGCCTGCACCTGTTTTCCAAACCAAGACATTTCTCTGCTAGATATAAACACCTGTTCAAGGCCTCAGTGTCTCCATTACATTACTAATAAGTATTCTGTAATAAGAAAGCAGGAGGCAGAAGTGTCACTACTCTGGTTTAGGTTTTGTGTCATTGAGGGACAGGATGTTAATTACTGTTTGGCCAACTTTTTAAAAGTGGCTATTCATTTTGGGTGCCAGCTTTTTTGTGCACCCTCAGAGATGCACCTCAGGCTTGAGCATGCATTTATGACGGCTGGGATTGCTCACCAGGTATCAGATCTGGGTCATGGTTTCTTAAGCTGAGTGCCCAAAACACAGGTAGTTTTTGGAAACATTAACCACAGTGCATAGTATAAACATTGTAGGTTCTGATTTATAGATATCTGAAAACCAAATTAGCAAGAGTACTTTAGGAGGAGAAAATGGTGATACTTCACTATAAAAGTGAAAATGGTGTAGATTTTACTGATGAACAGACTTCAGTGTGGTTACTTGCAACCAGTTAGCAAGTTGCAGTAGATTTGGCCCTAAAATAAGAGAAGGTTATTGGTAGAAGGATGTTTTTGCAGGGATAAGCACTATTGAACAAAGAACTATTGATTCAGTTGAAAAAGAAAGATTAACCTTTGTTGAAACTGAAGAGAACACCCTAGAAACCCAAGTATGCAACTCAGGATCAGCTCCATCTGATTTTATTTGTAAGACTAAATTGTACCCAGCAGGAAAAAGAAAATATGCCAAAAAAGTAACAAAAAAGAAACACTGAGTGGTTTTTCATTAAATTAAGATTCCATGGGAAAAAACTATTTTTGATCTCTACAAATATACCAAGGCCTGCTCTTCCATTTGTATTTATGCTATTTTATGGGTATGTCCCTTTAAAGGCCAATAAAAGTTAAGCATCTAGATCCCTTGAGCACTGATAAAAAAAAAAAGACCCTGTTTGCTATATTTTAAAAATAAACTCATTGACATGTTTATGTAGTACAGAATCCCATAAATTATTTTCTCTGCCATTAGCTAGTACTTTCTTAGCTAGATTTAAGAGTTTCCTTTATGGGTTTTGGTTTGAGTGATCTTGCGCTACAAGGTGGCAAATTAAAATGAAATCTACAAATCTGCTGCTTGTCCCCATTTCAAATGAATGGTCTATGGGGCTGAAATATTTGTCTAATTGTCAAAATGCATCTTTGAAATTCATTATTAGGAAAGTAACACACACAGAATATTTAAGCAATTAAAAAATGTCTCTGGGTTATAATTCTTTCAATTACACACACAAAGAATGAGGCAACATTATTCTGCTCTTAGTGGAAGGGAGTCACAGAAAGTTTTCCTTTCTTTTAATTTAGTTAACAATCTTGATAGTGAAGTATACGGTTTAGTGATGTGAGAACATTTCCAAATGAGTGCTAGCTTTTAACTGACCTACTTTTGACTAGTGACTTTCCCTTGTACCTTAGTTTTCGTCATTGAATAATACTGATTTATTAAACTCTGTGCTTCAAGGGCATTGTAAAACTGCATGTAGGGGCAGGACTGAACTGTGAAAGTGAGAATTACTGTATCAGATCAGACCCAATTAAAATGTGACAAGCGCAGCAGGAGAAATTGGAAATAGGGTTTATCTTTCATGTAATATAAGAAGTCCCTATATTGGTTAGAAACAAAGTAAGTGTGAAACAGATTCTCCACCCTTTCTCATCCCTCTCCAGAAATTAATATATCTATTGACATGTATATTAGAAAGAATAAGCCCCGGAGTTTTAACGTCTCATATTCAAGGATATTATGGCAATGGCATGTGGATGGAAAGTTTGGCAGCCTTACAAAGCTGTCCATTATCCAAGCACAAATCAAATTCCAAATCAAAATATTTGCAATTGAGAGATAAGAATAATCTGAAATTTTAGCTTTACATAAAACTATAGTGTGTAATTAAAGAAACGTTTACAGTTCTGCAAGTCCTCTTGGATTTCACAGTTAGGCATTTCTGGGTCTATCCCAGAAGAGAGAGAGAGAGAGAAAAAGATGTTAATAAAATCAGATTTTTTTTCAAGCTTTGTAGTTCCCTCTCATAGCAGTCTCTTTGTAAAACTGTCTTTGATCTAAGGTAGAAGAACCATGGATTGGTTTCCAACATCATTGTAATCCTTATATAACCTTGTTGTGTAACATTCATTAGTTCTTCTCGTACAGAGCAGAACTGTAAATGTAAATGAATGCAAATATCTGTGTATAGCCTTCCTTAATCCCTCTGGCTCATAACATGTATTGTTGATCAGTACTTGACAGGGAATAGCAGTGGAAGGTGCCATGGACAGCAACACTGTGCTTTCTATGAGTGTTATCTTTAGAAACAATTGTATCTGATTGGCTGACTAAGTTGTTCCCTGCAATCAGTTCTACACTTGGTTCATTGGTGTTTCCTTGTTTGGCTGTAATGTGATCATTTTTTCATTTGCCATCAAATCTACTCCAAGATTTCAGGAAATCTGGGCAGAGCCCTGTTGATTTGGGGGGAAATTGGAAAATCAAAAAGTAAAACATCAGCTTTACACATATCACTGATTGTGTTCAGATGTAAAAATCATTGTTGGTTTCCATTAACAATTTCTGGTCTAACAGTATCTTCCATCTCCGCTCTGTCCAGGTTAAAATGATGGTACTATCACTGACTTCTCTCCCAGACAGGAAGAAAACACTACTTATAGAGGGGGGGGAAAGGGTGTGTGTGTGTGTGGTAGGGGGTAGGAGGAATTGATGGGTTCAAGGAATTGTTAGTGTGTACACTAAGCACAGAGTGAAGGAGCAAAAGAGGATGCAACCCTTTAGGGCCTTGGAGAAGAATTTTATGAAGTGTTGATATTGTTTCCTTTAGGAGTTTTAGAAGAATAGTGTGTATTTGTAAAAAGTTAAATATTCCCCCCTAACCTGGAGAAAGTAATGGTTATAGGAGTGAGAACTGAAGAACTATTTATGCTATTGTATAAATATATATACACTTTGAAAATATATATACTTTGGTTGCATCTGTTTTCTCAAACATGATTTACATTCCCTTTGTACTGAATCCCAATGGGGTATATGGATTTTTATAAAGGGGCATTTTAGCCTCATATTTCTCTTATTTGGGTGGCATTTATTGAAAGAAAGGTTAGAAATATTTCTTCTGTCCTGTGGAGCAAATGGTATTCAGCTGTCTAGTCAATAAAAACTCACAACCAGATCCCAAGGTTAAAACAATGGCATTTAAGAACATCACGTGGATTGAGAACAATCACCAAAATTCCTTTAAAAGTTGTTTGATGTCCTGGGCCTGATTCAGAAGTGTGTGTTTCATGAAGCTTTAAAGAGCTCTTTGGCATGGGCTGGCACATTAGCTGGGCTCATATGCTTCATTTCTTTGGAGGACAATGGAAAGCTAGCTTGGTGGGGTGGGGGGAGTGTGTGTGTGTGTGTGTGTGTGTGTGTGTCTGGGGAGATGTGTTCATCAGTGTCCCTGCTGCTTCTCTCCCCACTTTCTACTTAGCTCAGCTACAGGTAGGACTTATTGACTTTATCACATATATTCCACTAAACATGGTTTAGACTTCAAAACAGATACAAAAAATGCATTCAAATCCTAATTTTATTAAGCAGCAGATGAATAGCTTTGTCTTTCACACTGCTTTGTGTACAACAGTGCATTTGAGAGATGGGCTATAAAAAGTTAAAAATCAAGGGTTATTTTCCACTGATTAAATGTATCCGTGTCCTGTATCTTTCCATCTCAATTCCCTCGTTAATAGTAGGAAGCCTAGACAACCTAAATTAATCAGTTTACAGAACAGACTACCTTTCATTTTTATCTTGCAGAGGCAAATGTGAAAGAAAATGCTGTGAAATACATGGACATGCTGGAGGACAAACTTCACAGGTAATGATAGCATGGTGGAAGCCTTTAAGATTCTTAAAAGTTTCTGCAGAAATGTAAATGTTGCTTTAGGGCATGTTTTGGAACTTGTTCAAGGAATAGGGGAAGTCCAGACCTCAGAAAGGAGTCTTCTAAAGCAAAGGGTTTTGTTTTTTTATTCTTTCATTCTGCAACCCCTAAATATGCACCAAAATGTTATTTTAAAACAAATCTGTAGTCTTAGAAGTCCTGTAAGTGTTTGCATTCTGGGTCAGATTCGTGGCTGTGGTACAGCTGTCTTGCCACCAGTCTACCAGTACAGAGTGCTCATACTGAGTAGCTCTAGGCAGCAGAGGAATCCTTGTATGCCACTGGAGAATTCCCTGACAAGTCCCAGTCTCTCGCACATAAGATGTGGCAAAAGAAAAGGGGATATGGCCAGAAGAGCACTGCATCTGCTTCACAAGGCTTCTAGAATGACCTTAAGGCTTCTTTAATTTATGTTGGAGACCAGTCCCGACTTCAGCAGCTCTGCGTTGTGGGGAGCAAGGATAGCAAGAATAGTGAGCTTAAAATAGCAGGTACTTCCCAACCATACCTGTACAAAGCACAACTTAGCTCTGGTATAGAAACTGTTCCCCTGAATTTTTAAACACTCTCCAAGTAATTAAAGACCCACTTAAATTTGAGTAGTTCTGAAAAATATAATGAGCTATTCCTTTGCTTTCTGTCCCAGGAACAAATAGAAATCAAGACAACCCTATAACTGTTAAGTATTTAATTCCTTCTCAGAAAACATATTTTTATGGACAACTGCAAAAATTAATAGTTAATCCTCTTGCCATGTGACCAGCTCTCGTACCTGTTGGATTGCCTCTCCAAGGCTTATCACTTGGTGCTGTGTTGCTTTGTAATGGAATCGTGTTCAAATAGACTGTGTTTTACATTTTGTTGAAGGTTTTTAAAACCTAGAGTCTGGACTCCTGGCTTGTGTAAAAAGCATCTCCTTTTGTACTGCTAAACAGGTATTGACAATGGGCCTTCTCTCTCTAGTGTTTACTGCAATTAGAGGGAGGATTTCAGATGTTTTAGGCTTGTTTAAAATTGCTTTTTTAATTAACATCTTATATTTACTGTCATAGCTATTAGATAAGTCAAAATCATAGTGAAAAACTTTGCTTCTTAATTTTTCATCGGGATTACACATTCTGAAAAATATATGGTGTAGCAGCCCATATACTTGGTTTTGTGGCTTTATATTGAAACAGCCAACCATCCCTTCCCCCCATAACTGAGGTCATGTTCTCTTAAATACAAGGACACTTAAACACAAGGAAATTCTATATAGCAATATCATTTGAGTGTTTTTCATAGGGAGCATTAAGAAAATGGACAGCCTTCTCCTAGCTTTGCAATGGTCTTTTCAAACAAAGCATGATAAGGTGACCCAAATTAAAATCTGCAACTTTCTATTTTAAATTAATATTTTAATCCTAGAAAAAAATAGTGTTTATATATATTATCCACTGTTAGTAATCTGTAAAATTGTGTGTGGCTCCCACCTACCCTCCCACCCGTATGACTGAGAGTGTGCTGGATTTAGAGATACTATCATGTAATGATCATCCTATTTATATGCAATGTCAAAGGATTGAAAGCTAAGCTGTCCTATGGCTCTGTAATTTATTTTGGAAGCCAACACTGATCAGCAATGGCAGAACATTTCAAATTCTCCCAGATTTAAGCAATATAGTAGGTTGTATTTCAACATGTTGAAACTTTACTTAGAGATAGCATTGTTTAGTGCCATATTTAAATTAATATATCTTTTGAAACTCCACTGTAGTTAATTATTTTTCAGGATTGCCGATCTTTTCAGGTTTTACAGAGAACTTAAATACTTGTAGGTGAAGTTCTACATTACTGTGGTCGTATTAATATGTTAATATTGTACCTTTGACCTTTCCACTAGGGATGCAAAAGGTTAAAGGATTAATTGTTTAACCAATAAGTGCAGTGATAACCAGTTAGCTTACCAATTATCCTTTGGCTTGGGATGGGCATAGTTTAGCAGGGAAGGGAAGCCGCATGGTGCACTAGTAGGAATCAGAAGGCAGCAGGGCAGGTTGGGCAGGGGAAGGAGGGAGGGGCTAGGGAGACTAGTACTCATAGTGCAGGGGCGGGCAAAATATGGCCTTCGGGCCAGATCCGGTCCACAAAGTCATTCTGTCTGTCCCACAGGGCCCCTAAAAAATATAGAAAATTAATATCTCACTCTTTGGTGAGCTCAAGCACAAAAAGGAAGCTTACAAGAAGTGGAAGCTGGGACAGAGGACTAGGGGGGAGTATAAGAGTACTAGCTGAAACCCACAAAACATTTGAAAAAGTATTTCTTGAAATACAGGATTTTTAGTTATCCTTTGACCAAATACTTTAATGGAATCAAAACTTCATACAGTTGAAAAGGCTGCATTAAGCTGTCTATGTGTAAACGCAGGCTTAGGAATATAAATACATATTTTGTCAAAAGTCTGACCTTGTGACTTGTTCATAGTCATAGAATAAGAGGGCCCTTGTACATGTGACACGGGGTGCTGGAAGGCCAGGCATGCTAAGGGAAGGTCGGGCTTAATGGGCTTCCAGTGCCCCATGCACCATCCCCACCACCTTCTCCAGCTGCCAGCACACTCAGCTGCCCTTCTGTCACCTTCTTGAGGCAGCCACCCCATTCCCAGGCAGTCTCAGCTGGCGGGAAGGTAGTGGGGATGGTGTACGGGGCTCTGAAAGCCCGCCAAGCCTGAGCTTCCCCAAACACGCCCAGGTTTCCAGTGCCCCATGCACCATTGGATCCAGTGGGTGCTGCCTGAGAGCTTGGGCTGCACCTGCACAGATAGCACCCTGCCTGGGTGGCCGTGGGGGGCACCGCCATCATGGAGGGAAGCACCACCCCAGCACCGCCCCCCTGCAGCTCAGGGGCTGCACGACCCAGTGGTAGCTTCCAAGGGAAGGCTTCACCTGGGGGGAGGTGGGGAAGAACAGCGAGGGGCCTGATCTTTTTTTTTTTAATTTTCTCCCAGAGCCTACCTGCATCTCCCACAGCCAGGGAATGAGCTGCCAGTGGGTTGCGCAGTCCCTGAGCTGTGGGGGACCCTGGTTCTTCCCTCTGCGGTGGTGGCACCCCCCGGGGAGCACCCACACACCCAATGGCACCCTGCCCAGGTGGTCCTGGGGGTGCCACCACCATGGAGGGAAGCACTGGTGCCCCCAACAGCTCAGGGCCTGCCAGGAGCCTGGCCACCGGCTGCTTATTCTGTCTGTCCAGAGCACTCTGGTTGTTTCAGTAAGCATTGTGATTGGCTGCCAAGACAACCAACTGGAGTGCTCTAGACACACAGAATAAACCTATATTATTATTATTATTATTATTATTATTATTACAGTAAAAGCTCTGTTATCCGGCATCCCCCAGGAATGGCAGATGCCGGTTAATCAAATATTCCGGTTAATCAGATGTGCACTCCCTGGCGTCGGCGTGCCAGGGGACAGGGAGGGGGGGCCCTACACAGGCTGCTTTTTCCTGTGCAGGTTGCTTTGCCCTGGGCTGTGGGCTGAAAAAGTGGCAAAGAAAAACTCAGCTCATGGCAGCAAAATGGGAAGTTCCCCAGAAGTGGTACTTTCGGTTTCGCTTTTGCCGCGTTGCACGGATGCCGGTTAATAGCGTTTTCCGGCTAATAAAGTGCTGGTCAACACAGCTTTTACTGTATTATATATTGCTTGGGCATGTAGGGGTGAAATCAGGAAGGCCAAAGTGCAATTGGAGTTGCAGATAGCAAGGGACATGAAAGGATTCTACAAGTCTGTTAGCAGCAAGAGGAGGGTCAGGGAAAGTGTGGATCCCGTACTGAATGGGGGAGGCAAGCTAGTGACAGATGATGTAGAAAAGGCTGAAGTACTCGATGCCTTTTATACTTCGGTCTTCACAGGCAAGGTCAGCTCCCAGACTACTGCACCGGGCAGCACAGTTTAGGGAGGAGGTGAGCAGCCCTTCATGGTGAAAGAATAGGTTAAGGACTATTTAGAAAAGTTAGATGTCTGCAAGTCCATGGGGCCGGATGGAATGCAGCCCAGGGTGCGGTGGGAATTACTGGTAGCACAGCCACTGGACATTATCTTTGAAAATTCATAGTGATTGGGGGCGGTCCCAGATGATTGGAAAAGGGCAAATATAGTGCCCATCTTTAAGGAAGGGAAGGCTCTAGGGAACTATAGACCAGTCAGCTTCACCTCAGTCCCCAGAAAAATCATGGAGCAGGTCCTCAAGCAATTCATTTCTAAGCACTTGGAGGAGAAGAAGGTGATCAGGAACAGCCAGCATAGATTCACCAAGGGCAAGTCATGCCTGACCAGCCTGATTGCCTTCTGTGATGAGATGGCCAGCTCTGTGGATCTAGGAAAAGCAGTGGATGTGATATACCTTGACTTTAGCAAGGCTTTTGATATCGTGTCCCACAACATTCTTGCAAGCAAGCTAAGGAAGTAGGGTTTGGATGAAAGGTGGCTGGATTATCGGACTCAATGGGTAGTGATCAATGGCTCAGTGTCTAGTTGGCAGCCAGTCTCAAGTGGACTGCCCCAGGGGTCAGTCTTGGGCCTGGTTTTGTTCAATATCTTCATTAACAATCTGGAAGTTGGGGTGGAGTGCACCCTTAGCTAGTTTGCAGATTATACCAAGCTGAGGGGAGTAGCAGATATGCTGGAGGGTAGGGTTAGGATTTAGAATGACCTAGACAAATTGGAGGATTGGGATAAAAGAAATCTCATGAGACTGAACAAGGACAGGCACTTAGGATGGAAGAATCCTATGCACTGCTGCAGCCTGGGGACTATCTGGCTAAACAAGAGCTCTGCAGAAAAGGACCTGGGGGTTACAGTGGACAATAAGATGGTTATGAGTCAACAGTGTGCCCTTGTTCCCAAGAAGGCTACCAGCATAATGGACTGCATTATTAGGAGCATTGCTACCA